GGAGTTTCTCGTGGCATAGGACGGCCACACAGAGACACTTTGGGATTTTCTGAATATAAAATACCGTACGCACGATGCTGAGATCAATTTGTGCGATATCAAATTGTTTGTGATCTACCACATCGAGCAGAACGGGATCCAAACACAAGCTTATCGACGGTTAGGCTGCCGACCTGACTCAGTGGACAAATGATCCCTGGCTTCACCAGACGCCAGATGTCGGACACCATGTCCTTTGCCGCGACGTCCATCTCCAAAAAGAACTCCATCTTCGTCGTGAAAAGGCTTGAAATATTCAATATTCAACCGAGATTCGCGGTCTCACCCTTTCTCAGATCGAATCATTTTTTGTTGTAGCAGTTGCAGGGCAGATCCCTGCCACTACTTCAACAGAAGATGGCTCCAAAGCATACCTGGAACAAGCCATATCGAGGTTGCAAGCCACCCCTCTCAGCACTTTTTTTGAAGAAATTCGAAATTTCAATGGTGGAAGATATACTATGAAGAGAATTTCAAAAAGTATAGTTCGCGGAGCGATCGCTCAACCTACGTCATTCAAACTTTGCAGGATGGTTCAGACGTACATGCTAGGCATGGAACCACTGAAGATGATATCATAGCTGACACACAGAGTCACACACACAGCAGATTCGTGTGCACAGATACTAAATTAGTGGACGTCGTCATCTTCTTCCCGCTGATCTCAAATGTACGATGACGTGCTATTTCGCCTGACGCTCGTGGGTCAGCGGAAAAAAATCTCCGCCAGCAACAACCCAACTCTGCACTATTGCCAGAGACAAACTGCTGGTACAAATTCATTACGCATTTCTCCTTAAAATGTGCTTATGGAGCAGCGTTAGGGGCATAATGTTGAGGAGGCGTTACTCGGACCTTTTCTTCCTTTGTTATCGGGTCAACTTGGCACATTATCCCACTGTCAATGTCCTTGGCTTAGTCACAGTACTATGCAGAACGTACCAGTACATGAAACAAATACGAGTGTATGCAGAGGCTCAGACACGATACGGTCGCTACGGTATTGACCGTACCACTCTTTGCCCCAAGTACCCCGTGAATCAATAAAATGTGCTGACTTGGCCCGGGCTCGGAATTTCCAAAAATGTTGGCTCAGCCTCTCCTCCCTCATGCGTAAATCGTACTACAGGTGACTGACCGTACCACACTAAATTACCTTCCAACGCCCCTAAGTCATGGAGAATGCTCAGTACTGTCCTGTTGGATGGCTGCCAGGTCTGCGGACTAAGCGGCAGACCCTCGTAGCCAGTCAAGATACGGAATTCGTATGAAGAGCAAATTGCATTCACAGCTTGGACAAAATCATTAAACATTGCACCCCCCCCCCCCCCATGTCCCACACTGCCAAGAAGGAGAAGTGCAGGCAAAAAGGAAAGCAAAAAAAGTAAATTGACCAACAACAAAAAAACTATTCAATCGCAGTGAACAGGATTCGAACCTGTGAGGGCAGAGCCCAATTGATTTCTACAGTCCATTTCAAAACTATAGACGCATACCTAGGCAAAAACCGTTATGCCAGCATCTATACCACATAAAATCTGTGATCACTTTGTGCATAATTTTTTCCAAATTGGGCGTCTGTTATCCAATCGTTTAGAAACTATAATGAGAGTAATTGTGGAGCGGACCTGAGCAATATTCCGACAACTATTCTCAAAAAGTTCCGGCCAAATTTGAAATATTTCAAAAAACCCACGCGTCTATAGTTTTGAAATGGACTGTAGTCAATCGCCTTAACCACTCGGCCACCACTGCTTGCTTGTTGTACAACAAGCACCTCAACGAAATACGGGAAGAGTGTATGCAAAACAGGTCAAAATGGGAAAAATGACAAAAAGAGAAATTTAATCGCAGTGAACAGGATTCGAACCTGTGCGGGCAGAGCCCAATTGATTTCTAGTCAATCGCCTTAACCACTCGGCCACCACTGCTTGCTTGTTTCACAACAAGCACCTCAACGAAATATGGGAAGAGTGTATGCAAAACCGGTCAAAATGGGAAAAATGACAAAAATGACAAAAGGAGAAATTCAATCGCAGTGAACAGGATTCGAACCTGTGCGGGCAGAGCCCAATTGATTTCTAGTCAATCGCCTTAACCACTCGGCCACCACTGCTCGCTTGTTTTACAACAAGCACCTCAACGAAATATGCGGAGAGTGTATGCAAAACCGGTCCAAATGGGAAAAAGGACAAAAAGAGAAATTCAATCGCAGTGAACAGGATTCGAACCTGTGCGGGCAGAGCCCAATTGATTTCTAGTCAATCGCCTTAACCACTCGGCCACCACTGCTTGCTTGTTTTACAACAAGCACCTCAACGAAATATGGGAAGAGTGTACGCAAAACCGGTCAAAATGGGAAAAAGTACAAAAAGAGAAATTCAATCGCAGTGAACAGGATTCGAACCTGTGCGGGCAGAGCCCAATTGATTTCTAGTCAATCGCCTTAACCACTCGGCCACCACTGCTTGCACAATCTAGAACAACCGTGATACTCTGCAATCTGGCTTGGAAAATTTATTTTTCATTGCTACCAGATTCGGCCTCATTTTCTCTGTGCTGTGCTGATGAGTCCACAAAGGACGAAACAGTTCTGTCCGCAGACTGAGTACTCTGCATTGAGTAATACGCCATTGCACCTTCAATTTCACTTCACTCACCTCACCCCTACTATTTTGTGTATGGTCACTCCCGGCTGCTCACTGTCACACAACAGCTACTTTAGTCAAATGCAGCGGATACTTCGCGATGACTACCGGCCAAACTTAGAGGACGTGCTTCGGGCCCGAGTGCGGACGACGGGAATATCCGACACGGAGTTCATCGCAAAGGGTGTACTATTCAAGTGAGTGCTACCACTGATACAGCCTACCCTTTCTTTTCATAATAGTATACCCTTGCTGTGTCTGCTGCTGCTGATGTGGCTGCTGGTGATGGTGGTGATGCTGAGATTGAGCTGCAGTATTCTGATGATCTACACCCCACATAGATAGTATGAGAAGAATGAAAATGCTGCTAGCCCGGCCTGGTTAAAAAAACCGGTAGAACTGCTTTCTTGTTTAGATGGCTTGTTTGTGTTCGGTTTAGCATGTAACTTCGAACTTTGCTGATACGACCTAACGTGGGCAAACGGCTAGCTGCGCCAGGATTGCGTAAAGCTGCTTGTACCTGATCTTTTTCCCTTGCTGAGAGTGTTTAAATGGTTTCCCTGGCAAAGGAAAGACGGCTACATCAGACACTACGGTATCCGACATTTAATATGAGCGTACATGTGTACTGACTGGTTTGTGTCTGTGCCTGGCATGCATTTCTGCAGGATCATCGACGTCGGAGGCCAGCGCTCTGAAAGACGGAAGTGGATACAGGTTAGGGAGGATTCCAGACCCATCATCATGTACCTCAATCGTATAGACGGTACAATAATTGTAGTTTCACATATCTATCGCATTACCATACGGGATAGCAATGCTGGTTCCAACTCCACCCTTGCATCTATGGGTCACATCATTATGTCGACCATGTTGGTTCTGCTGTCCACATGCCATGAGTCACTTTCTCCATGGATTTAGTCACATGACCAAGATGTGAACACCACTCTACCGTGCATAATACTAACACCGGGAAGGAATCACAAACTGATTACAAACACCGTCTCGGCAACATTGCTTGTGAGCAGTTTGCAATTCCTTCCCAGGAACGGAAGTACATCATGTACTGTTGTGAGCATTGAAATCGTTGCGAAGTCGAGCGGCCACGGGGCGCTGGCCTCGCAGCCGCGAACACTGCTGGTCCATTTTTAACAGTGCATGCGTGAACTACTACAGTGCATGGACGCTCAAAAAGCAATGAGGGCGCTGTACCCTGTCCACGACAGTGCATGCGTGAACTACTACAGTGCATGTACACTCAAAAAGCAGTAAGGGAGCTGTACCCTGTCCACGACAGTGCATGCACAGTGGAGTGGTGTTTTCATCAGTTTGTCGTGTGACTAAACTTGTGTAGAAAATGATCATGTCATGTGGACAGTGGAGTGAGTGGAACCAATATGGCCGACATCATGTGACCCATAAAGTGGTGTTATCATCAGTTTGTCGTGTGACTAATCTTGTGTGGAATGTGACCATGTCATGTGGACAGTGGAGTGAGTGGAACCAACATGGCCGACATCATGTGACCCATAAAGTGGTGTTATCATCAGTTTGTCATGTGACTAAACTTGTGCAGAAAGTGATCATTGCATGTGGACAGTGGAACCAACATGGCCGACGTCATGTCTGGTCATGTGATAGGTGTGTGAGCCACTCTCTACCATTGTGCTATGCAATGGGTGGTTTGAGGAGCTCATTAGTAGAGTCATTACACATCGCTGTCACACTTCCATACCAGCACTAGTCATGGCGAACTCTTTTAACATTAGCAAACGATATACAGGTACTACAGTCCGTTGTTTGATCTACTCTGCATTTCTACTAGCAAAATTAATAAAATGAAAGTGCTGTGTCCGCGCTGTTCCTGTGCTTGCGTGCAATGTGCGTGTATGTGTGTTCATGTGCTGTGTTGGCAGTGTTTTGAAGATGTGAAGACGGTGATGTTTGTGTGTGCCATCAGTGGCTATGACACACACCTGTACGAGGATGAAACACAGGTTAGTAAAACAGAATTATACTTGAAGTAAGACTTTATATCTCCTGGTGTGCACATCTTAGCTGAGCGGTGTTGCTGCTGTGTTGCTATGTTCCTGCTGAATACAGTCGACTCCACTTATAATGACTTCGCGCATAGCGAGTTTTGTGATATAGCGAACCATTGTCCATGTCCCAGCTTGAACCCATCGTGTAAGTTCATCATTTTCTGTTATAACGAACTTCGGCTGAAAAAGAACTAATTCTCCTGCACAATGGTCACGGTTCGTTATATCAGGAGTCGACTGTAGTAGTAATTCGTGATTAAATCTACACAGGTCCTGCTGTACCTTAAAAGTGCCACGAGAGCGAGAACGCTCCACCTTGGGAGCGCTCCGCCTTAATTTCCACAGCCAGGGAAAGGAAAATCATGTGGTAGAGTGCAACGAATAAGGCACGGTGTGAGAACCTTAGTGTGTACTAAGGTCACACTTACGAGGTAGCATGTTCTTGTGTGGAGCCAGTTTCTGGATATCCATCTGCGGGTCTAAAATGCATGACTGAGTGCGTCTCTAATTACTGTACTAGTCTTGATGCCGGCTTGTTTGCGTGTCTTTCCTTCTTTGTGTGTGTGCGTAGAATCGTCTCAAAGAGAGCCTGGATCTATTCAAGGCAATCAGCAACAATCGATTCTTCCTCGACTCGTCAATGGTGAGAGAGCGTAATGCGTCACAGTACTTTGTGTCCTATGCCAAAGCACAGTTGCACGCGGTGAAAAGCGTCCCTGTGTCCCTGGTCCCTGTGTCCCTGGTCCCTGTGTCCCTGTGTCCCTGGTCCCTGGTCCAGTACTGAACACATCACTGTATGTGTACATGTTAACGCGTCCAGCCGCGTTCCTAACACTTCTAGGGCGTCGAGTGCTAGTCGAGGGCGCCAAATATGCAATCTGGGTCGGATTTCACCGAGTGCACCTGTTCTATTTGAACGTCCGTGAAGCAATATGGCCGGAGCGTGATGTCAAACCTCCAGTACAGCAGGACCTGCGTGTAGCGGCCGGCCGAATAATTGTCTGCACACAGAACAGCAGTTTTTCTTGACAGGCGGTCTTTCAGTACAGGTTCATGCATGCAAGGCAACATACTAGTAGGTAGCTAGCTCATGAAAAGACAGTTGTGTGGCGTTTTCACAACCTGGCAGTATTGGACTATTTTATCATGCTTCAAACATTTTGATAGTGTTAACGAAGGAATTTGTAACATGCAAGACAATGGGGCACAAGTTACGCGATAGAGTTCACCGACTAAACTGTCCACTATTTTCCATGCTTCAATTCACTATTTCCTTGGCCCGCCATTCTGAGTTCTACTTCAAGTAAATGAGCTTGTTTTTCAAAATTCTAACGAGAGAGCCTGGAAGCTCAGGGCCCTACGCTATGCTTTTTTGCCTTGATGACCTAGACAAAAAAAGCATAGGGATGTTATAAATTCTTATAAGTTTCTACTTTTTGTTTTTAGACATAACCTGGGATTCGAACCCGCACTATCGCCCTGCATGCATCCCCCGAGACACTTCGAATTCATACGGTACTAATTCTTCCAAGTTGCTTCACGTTATGATCCTGTATTTGAAAGCCCTATTTGAACGTGCATTTGAAAGCCCTATTTGAACGTGCATTGTGGCCAGCCGTCTTTGATTGTACGGTACAGTACGGGACTGGTACGGGACAGGTACGGTCGAGGGTAATACGACACCGTCTACCGCCTTGATGACGGCAAAAAAAGAAAAGGGATGTTATAAATTTGTCAATTCTCCTATTTTTTCAGGCATTACCTGGGATTCGAATCCGCACTATCGCCCTACATGTACATGCATTCCCCCATACACATCGCATTCCCCCATACACATCGCATTCATACTCATTCTTCCAAGTTGTTTCTTCACGTTATGATCTTGCGTTTGAAAGCCCTATTTGAATATTGCGGCCTGCTGTATGTGGCCAGCTGTGTTTGATGGTACGGTACGGGACAGATACGGGATAGCGCCAGGCGTGACACAAACACACAAACACCAAATTAAAGCTGTGTGCACTCTGGCTAGCGCCAGACGTTACTGAAGTAACGTCTTCTGCATAGCTACGGGAATAATGGTTTGTGTCTCCTGGTGTCTTGTCCCCTGCTCTTCTCTTTCTTCTCACTCTCCTAGGTATTATTTCTGAACAAGATGGATTTGTTCCGACATAAGATCATGAACACCCAGAATCAGCTGAAGAGGTTCTTCCCGGACTACGAAGGTTAGAGGCTGTGTGTTAACAAAAGAATTTTTAACCCAGGTCGAGTTGACTCCCGGGCTGAAAGTCTGTCTGGTGCGAAAAAGTAGGTATTTTCGTTACATGAAGAGAGTAGTTGATCAGGATCGATTACTGCTATGCTGACAAAAGTCCATTCAAGAATTCTGTAAGGTCACCTGTGACTACTTTTGGTGGAACATTTGCCTGTGCAGCACAGCCATTCCGGATAACCAATCGTCCGGAGCGTCGATTCTCTACGGTAACTCCTTTTAATGTGCATTAAAGTTTTTTGCTTCCGGAAGCAGAATCCCTGCAATTCGGTGTAGATGTATCACTGACGGGAGCAGAACAGGTTTGATTCAATTTGAAAGTCGAAATGTTTGTGTCCCGATTTGAACTTCCACGGCACACTGCCGCACCAATTCCTTGGCTACACAAAATAGAAATAAAACTTCTCCAGAAACTTCAAATACTCTCAAAATCTTCCCCCAAGAGGGCATCTTCAGGGATAAGAATTTTGTGTCCTGTATTTGTGTCCGTTTGTTCTATTGTGTGGTGTACAGGGCCGGCATTCAACGTCGAGGAAGCCGCCAAGTACATCCAGAACGAGTTCTTCAAGCGCAAGCCGTACCCGTCACAGATTGTGCACATGCATTACACCATGGCAACGGACACGGCCAAGATGAAGGTAACCCTGGACGACGTGCTGGAAAACATTGTACGCGAGACGCTTAACCGCATCAGCACCAATCTACTGTGACCATGGCAACAACCTACGACGATAACGACGCCATGGAAACGCGACTTGAGTATTCAAACACGAAATGAGTGGAGCCAGCCGATCGACTGCAGCAGACAAACGGAGATGGCTTGGCATGATGGGAAATGCACTCCAAGTCAGTGCTTCGCAAATCGCAGGCTGCCAACAGCAGGAGGCGATGGCAGGTGGTCGGTCAAAGAAATTCTATGGCCGCCGACAGCTGTAACTCAGCATCGCAGCTACAACTAAGCTACCACACCACCTTGACGAAGAGAGGAGAGGAGTGTGATCTCCTTCTCTCCAGATGATGTACATGAATATATAGTGTGCGGCGGAGTGAGACCAACAGTGTATGTAATATAGACGCCTGTACATTGCAGCCACGTGTAAATAGCCGCGCCCGCGACCGACGATGCCAGAATTGCCAAAGGTGATTCATGGCGGCCAGAAGCAACTGACTGGCAAACCAACGATATATTCTGTCTTTGCCTAAATTGAAGTGCCAGAAAAACTATTTTAATATATTCAATTTACTCTCCATGTCTGGACAATTGCCCCATACCCCTGGGACAATCACCCATGCCCGTTGAATAGTATCGCTATCAAATTTATGTGTATATGCTGATCAAATGTAGAACAATATTTCCTGTTACCATGCCTACTACAGCTTGCTGCATGCCGTTCTTCCAACACTCGCTGCCACCCCCAATGGAACTGGACTTATCTTGAAGATTTCGTTTCGGCTGATAATACAAACGTTGCAGGCTTTGTTGCGCGGTCCACCATGAATCTGGAAAATGTCAATAATCCTAAACAAAACTACTCCACGCTCCATGTGTGTGTGCAGCACGATAGCGCAGAAGCGAAATGATCATGCAAAGTAACAAGCAAAAAAATAACCAAAAAAGATGGAGGCACAGAGACCATCTCGAGATATGGCTTCGTCGTGTATGAATGAATGTTGTACTGTAGCATGATTTTTGTGATAGGAGGATGAATTTATTTTTCATGATATGAGAGATTTCATGGGATTTCATGGCATGCACACTACAGTTTCAATCTTGAATTTAAATGAACCTCACACCCACATACACACAGGGCGGTGAACTTTCTCAAGACCCACATGAGGATGAGGAAAAGGAGGAGGAGGAGAATGGAAAGGAGGGAGAGGAAGAGGCTGAAGAAGAAGAGAACCCAACATGGCAAGAGGCACAGACATGTGGCAGAAGCGGTGGCCCACCATGGAGACGTGTGACGAGGGATTCTTCTCGCTCTCAATATCCTGCACTGTTGACGAGATCTGCAGTGGGAAAGCGGAGAAGCACACGAGTAACGTGACGACGTTGTGTGAACTAGCAGCCAGGGATGTAATGAATACATGTATTTCAAAACATCCCGGCATCCCCGGAATGCAACAGACCTCATTCGACCTAGCGACAGTGCAAAATTTAAATATTTGAATACGAAATCTCAAATACACACACGCGCACACACAAGCACACGCACACCCACCCACCCACACACACGCACGCACATGCGCACACGCGCACGCACGCACACACGCACACACAAGCAGACCTTACCCTGGTATGTACCAGCCTTGGTTTTGTGAGCGGCGGTCTTTGCTGCTGCAGATTGTGCGCCAGACTTCTGCAAGGCAAACACCATTTTCGAACACAACACAAGGATATTCTAGAATAGACGCCACTGAAAGTATGCCAATTTACTCACCTTCAAATAACATGCACTTTCGCTCGTATCTCTACCAAACATTCACCGATTTTACAAACTAACCACCGTTGGAAAGGTATTACCAAGACAACGAGATTAGCACCACACTCAAGCCAGCTACCTGCACAGCCTCTGCTCTGCGTGGCCGATACTGCTGGCCAAAACAGCAGCCGTGCGCGAACAGCTTCAGCAAAGTTCAAACAGCCGCCATTCCATTCTCCTTCATCACATCGACTTCAAACAAACTGCAACAGAAAGCTCATTTCAAGCGCAAAATGTTGGTGTGCAGCATGCTTGAGTATGATGTACCATTCCGGGGAAATCCCCTGCCAAGTGCAGCGTGAAATTTTGAAATTTGATCTGAGTGCATTTTTCAGTTTGCCTCCGACTTCGAGTCTTACCACGGCGACATCGTAACTCCTAGAGACTTCAGATAACTCCGACGTGATAGCCAAGGTTCGTATTGAAACGTAAATGCTTTGTTTATGAAAATCGGTGAAGGAACACCGGAGATATAATTATTTTAGTGTCACTGTATACCAAACGATCGAATTCGATCGCTGGGGTCTCAAAGGGTTAAGGAGCTATTGTGCTCCAGAAATTTGGTTCAGTGGGACCAAAACACTAGGCAATGAGTGCATTTACTTCTTTGAAGTCTGCACCTAATACACAAAAGAAATCAGCGCCGTTCGATTTACACTTGGAGTGACCATCGCTCGATTCCTCACAGCTCAATTCACACAAAAACTTGACACATAGAGAAAGTCATGGTGGCTCAGCTACACTACTGCTCGATGAAATCCAGTCGAGTTTCTCAAGTACGCCATGCCGGGCGTTGCGCAGCCCTAGACCTGTGAACACTGCGAAAAGGTGCATGGCGCCAACTTGACTCTAGCAACTAGATTTCATTGAGCAGCACTTTACATAGAGATTTCATTGAGCAGCACAGTACATAGAGATTTCATTGAGCAGCACAGTACATAGAGATTTCATTGAGCAGCACTTTACATAGAGATTTCATTGAGCAGCACTTTACATAGAGATTTCATTGAGCAGCACAGTACATAGAGATTTCTACATGAACACATAAGAATGGACTACAGTTGTGTACGGTGCCGAAGAAAGGAGCACCTAAGAACGGCCAGGCTAGAGTTTCACCAAGCACACCATACCATACACGATGACTCAACTACTGTGCATAGACTACTGTCTGTAATACATGAAAACAAGAAACGGCCTAGGTGTAGGCTAGAAGGTTGACCCCCCCCCCCCCCCCTAGGTCTAGAGGTCTATACTTTTGAAACGCACTCTAAACCCTCAAGTTCTCCATCACCAGACGGTACTATACAGTAAAACCTGTGACTAACGACCACCCCTTGCCCTTGGGGCCAGAGAAAGTGGTCTTTAGTGGCAGGTGGTCCTTAGTTAGAGGTTTACACCGCACAACCATATATGAATGTGAGACCGTCGGTGCCTGGCAAAGTGGTCTGTAGTACCAGGCTGGTCGCTAGTCACGGTGATCTGTAGTACCAGGTTTTACTGTACTTCACAGGTCATCATCATTGTTCTGCCTTACCGCTGCCGTTGGTGCTAGCGCTTTGGGCACGGGTATCTCGAGCACGTTGCAAATCCGATTGCGTGCCTCGCGCACCTCCGCCAGCGCTGCATCGTCCCACGCTGTCGTGGAGAGTATTGTCATGGGGTCGTCTTCACCGCCCGCGTCCTCGTCACCCGTTGGCAGGACAATGTCAGCGTAGGACACCAAAGCGACCACGAAGTAATCGGCCGTCACCGCGCGTACCTGGTGACAACAAGAAGAAGAAGAACAACAATGACGATGACAACGATGACAGCAGCAGTAATAGTAGTAGCAACACTACCGTGAAGTACCGTTGACCCCCCCCCCCCCACGCCATGTCGCTTCCCAGCTGGGTTTTCAGCGGGGGGGGGCAGGAATTAGATCAAGGCTGTCAAGTGCAGTACGATGTACAACAACGTAGAGGATCAGACTCGATGGGCTGGATTGTGCACATTTTCATCCTGCACTGACACGTATTGCGTACAGCAGGGCATGCGTCGGTTCAACATCATATTTCGTTGTATACGCTGAAGTCGCTTTACAGGTAGAAAATTGACGGGGGGGGGGGGGCGATTAGAGAGGGGGCGGATCAACGCTACTTTGCGGTAGTACCCTTGGCCCTCAAACCAAAAAACATAGGATTGGAAGAGGAAGAAAAGAGCAAAAAATAAAGTACACACCTCGCAGTGAACAGGATTCGAACCTGTGCGGGCAGAGCCCAATTGATTTCTAGTCAATCGCCTTAACCACTCGGCCACCACTGCTTCGATGTTTTACAACAAGCACCTCAAGGAAATATGGGAAGAGTGTATGCTGGTGATGTAACGAACCATGAATGGCACCTATGCATAATTTTCCCGCGGTTTTTTGTGCGGGGCAACTTCACGACCTCGACACTGTACTTGCACCACGCAGCGCAGCATGCAGTCTCATGCATGCACGCGTGGAAACTCTGATGATCGTAGAGCCCTACCACGTACCTGCTTCGCGTTTGCTGAGGCTGAAGTACAATGTACAATTTTTTTTCCTTTGTGTTGGTGAAGAATCAAACTCAAAGCAAGACATTTATTTCCTTCTTGGAAGGCAAGGGTTGTCACAGTTTGCTGTTGTGTATAAGTAGCAAGTTAGTTAGAGATCAGTAAGCAGCTGACACAATCATGCCAAGCAACGCTCATTGTATCGTCCCTGGCTGCTCAAATCGTAAAAGCAGCTGCAAGTTTGGTTTGTTTGAGTCTGATGATGCGAACTCGCAAGGACGAAAAGTGTTTGTGAAGCGTCGTCTATGTGGATCAGACCTGGCTCGTGTTGGCTGCGGAGGAACAGCAGAGGTCTGTAAAGCTGTATCTTTTCATCGTTTGCCTAAAGATTCGGATCGACGCCGGCATATCAGGGCCGAGTGGCTTGCCAAAATACCAAGAGTCAACACTCCTCTTTCTGGAAACTCGTATGTCTGTGGGGTGCACTTGTATCACCATCCCTAACAATGCCATCGGGACTGGCACCAAACCAGCATTCATCAGCATGCACAAATAAGCCACATGCAACAACATCTATCAGCTTGCCAGACTTGGCTTGGTGGGCTACGTAGGCACATCGTGCCTCTTCTTCATGATCAATCCCCCATCTGGTTGCAGGAGTGGTGAACGCCGGCCGATCAATGATAGTTTTTATGAGGGATGACGGGTCAGTCTGAGGTCGTCGATGAGCTACAGTATGGGCAATGGAAGCTGTAATACGCTTCTTTCGTTCATTCCTCCAAAGTTCACTTGTTGTTTGGGATGCAGTGGCTTCTTGCAGGGCATTGGCTTCTTCACAAGTAAGTATGACATTGGACTCGTACCACAGCATCTGCTTGTCCTCAGTTAGCCACTCGCAGTCAGATGGCACAGGTGTCACATCACCTGATCTGCTGTGCTCAACCTGCCACTTGTCCTTCTGTTCCCCTGCCCTAGCCAGTCTCTCCTTTTTCTGCGCTTGGGCTCTGTGCAACCTGTCCTCCTTCTGCTTAGCAGCAAATCCTGAGCTACCAGCAACAAGAGGCAATGCTAGGTGGATGGAGTTGGAGTGAATGGTTGAGTTGGCGTATTCCTCCACACGCCGGGCAAAGTCCATCCGCTTTGCAACAGCACGAGGGTCAAGTACTTCTGCAGCAGAATGCTTACGTTTCTTTGGCGCAGATTTGTCAGTGGTACTGCCACCTCTACGCCACTCCATGTCTTGAACCAGCATGGGCTCACTCTTTTTACCTGCACCTGCAGGAGGCTGGTTCCACTTTTGCAGCATGTCCGTGCACGTCGGAGCGTCACTAAACCCAAGCAGAGTGAACTCGGACAAGCCATACATCAGTGCAGCTATATGCTTGCAACTGGCAGTAACACCCTTGCCAGCAGGACAAGTGCACTGAGCACCAACAACACTGGTGGCAGATCCTGAGTCACACTGAGCAACGAGCCGAAGTTTGTAGTCAGCTTTGGTCTTCATTTCAGGCTGACAGCGGGCACGGTAGTACACACGGCTGTTGGCCTTCATCAGTTCGATTTTCTGGACATAACCTGCTCGATACAGACGAATTGACTTGCTATCAGTGGCAGCAAGCGCTTTGAAATTCTTGGCAGGTCCATCGCTGGTTATAGTGTCCACGAAATAAGAAACCATAGTTTGCATGGAGAACGACAGGGAGAGTAGCCTTCCACTCGCAGATTTAATCGGCTGCCACCCAGTAACAGGAAAATCCAGAGGGTCGTGGGGAATAACAGCAAGCGCTGCAGCTGGCGGAGGTGGCCCTTCCTTGCCATCACCGTCGCCTTCAGAGAAATGCTGAGCAAGTCTGTAAACGACACGAGCAGATAAATAACAAACTCAGATTCACAAATAATTTCAAAAAAATAAGATTTTGTTGTGGGAAGAAAACAACTCACCTCGCAACTAGATCGGCTTTCTTTCCCGACTTCTTGAGACCATACTCTCCACACTTCACCTTCAGAAGGTTCAAGGTGAGCTGGGAAAAATCCTGACTGACTGCCATCTTCCTGTCAACTAATATCGAAACTGTCTTCCACTGCAACGACTGAAAACAAAGGAGAGCCTCGCGTCGAGCAAGTTGCCCCGCACAAAGGTGCGAAGTCGCGATGGCGACCTGGCCGCCATGTTTTATGCATAGGTGCCATTATACGAACGAATAATCTAGCGAATACCACTCAAGAAAACGAACGATTATTCTATTATTCCACAAAAAGTGTACATGTAGTGAACAAACAACACAAAGCGCTCAGACTCGAGTCAGAGTGGAGTCTACCAAGGCCTACCACACATAGTCTAGTCGTTGTCTGCAACACAGTACAAAGTGTATGCTTTCTAGTCGAGAGATCTAGAGACGTGCACGCACGCACGGTATGCAGCGCACGGACTTCACCCGCCCGCGGATATTCGAATTTTCGAACCTTCGACTTAGATTTTATCCAATCGATTATTCGTGGAGGTCCAAGAGATCGAGGAAATTCGAATAATCGATTATTCGATTTTTCGTTACATCAAGAGTGTGCAAGTCCACATCTCTCCTGTACAGTCTGCAGATACCTCGGCCCACGGCGGAATTTTTGTTGACGTCAACTTTTTTACAGAGCATGTGCATTTTGCCGCAGAGCAGTGTGAGAGCACGTGCTGGGCACCGACCTTGTAATGTAAAGCCCGGCCAATTGCCAAGTGCACGAGGCAAAACTTCCCAAAAGACAGGCAGCGGGTGCGTCATAGAAAAAATTACGTCAACAAAAATTCCCAACCCATCCGCGAGTTAGTTGCACACTTTTGTTTATCTACTTACACATCACTATAGTCTGTTTCAAAAAGATTTACAATCAGGTTTGGGTCTTAACCCTTTGTGGACGGACTGTACGAGTTTCGATCTAATAAGATCTAATAAGATCGAAACTTCGTAACTTCGTAACTCCATCGTTTCTTGAGCAAATTCCACAATCGAAGGGTCTACGTGGTAGCGGGAACTCCAAGCTGTCCAATGCAACAATCGCTGAAGAGTTACAATGTCGGACGCCAGAGATATCGCACGCCGTATTCTTACCTCGGCAAATTCAAATTTTTGATCGATCATTTCGCCATTTTGGGGGAAATCCCTTTTCGTGTGCTCTTTGAGCGACTGAGCACATGATAATGACGTAGCCGGCTGAAGTTTGAATCGTCTCAAACAGATTTGAGCGTTCTGCGATGAAGGAGAGTGGAATGGCGTTGATGGGACGAATTTGCTTGGATATCAGGCTTGGAGACGACTTTGCTGTGTTACCGCGCCTGATTTGTGGCGGCCGGATAATGGAGATTGGTACCCTGACGTAGCTCTCGCCAAGAGTTTTCCAATGAGCCCTTGATTGTGAAAATCAAGTGAAGGACACCAAAGTTATGACATGGAAAAGTTGAAAATTGTACTGACATTTTGTAATTCTGGTGCATACTGTGCTAGTAATCCGTCCATAAAGGGTTAAAAAGTATGAAGATAAGGGAAATTTGGACAACAAAGTACATAGAATGGCTTGTTAGGACACGGCAAATTGTTCAGTGAAGGTTTCAGAACAATTGGACCAGCCGTTAAGGAGTTAATTTCGGCCAGGTTTCCGGCCTTTTCCCATGGTTTACAATTTGTCCAGGAAGCCAGTATCGATTTTTTTAATCAAAACCCACGATTTATCCTTTCCTTTTTGGCCTTGTGGTTATCAGGTTATGAATGCTGTCTGCTGACCATGAAGTTGTGAGTTCAAATCCCAAACTATCCTCAAGTCAAACTTTTTTTTCATTGTTTTGGTGATCAAGCTGGTACAAGACAAAGAAGATGGCTGCACCAAACGACTTGTTGTTGAAGCTCGCGCTTCCTGCCGAACTGACTGACACTTGACTGGCTCACGCCATGTGAACACACCCACAACACTGCAATGGTGTGAGTGAATATGGAAGTCATCGCGCTGTAGCTTTTTGAGATTTATTTTAGTTTCAAGATCGCCAATTTATTTGAATTTAGCAGTCAACGCCGTCTTCTATCAGGGCTCACAAGCGTCTGCTTTTCTCAAAATGTCGTCGAAGTCACATGGATAGCTTTGCCAAGCCATGGCCTTGGGAATGAGTCCGTGTCGATGTCGTTTTCGTCACACGGTGAGTAAATTGCATCGCAGCTCAAAGAAAATATTTTGGTCACAAAACGAATTGGGACACATGCCGCTCGT